TCTTGCCGGGGACGGACGATTACCCTCTGGATGAGGGGGGAAGAGGGAAATATGTAGAGGAGATCGTGAGACCAGTCCATCAGGAATGCGTCTCCCAGACAGGTGCTGTCCCTTGCTGCTCTGGAGCAGAATTGGGCACACTTCTTGATGGCATTGGATGCAAAGAGGTCTATTGAAGGCATGCCACATCCCTGGCTCAGCCGCCGAAATCTGACATCGTTCAGAGTCCATTCGTGAGTTCTTGTTGGAAGCCGACTGAGCCGATCAGCTAAGGTGTTGTCGTTGGTGGAAATGTGGACGGCAATAGGGAAAACATGGTTGGAATAGCACCACTCCCAGAGGTCGACAGCTAGGTAGAGCACAGAAGGGGAGTGGGTGCCTCCTTGCTTGTTGACATAGAAGAGTGCAGTGGTGTTGTCTGTTGCTAGCTGCACTACCTGTCCTTGGATCAGGGGAAGAAAGGCATGGAACGCCTTGATGATTGCCAACAGTTCCAGATGGTTTATGTGAAGTGGCAGCTCTTGTGTTGACCAGAGCCCGTGGACTGTGTGCTGAAGGCAGTGGGCATCCCATCCCATGGGGCTGGTGTCAGTTGTGACCTGTATGGAAGGTTGCAGGGGGGAGAAAGGTCTGCCAGTGAGAAGGTTGTCTGGGCAAGTCCACCAGTTGAGCTGGGAGGCTAGTTCTGGTGTTAGCGGCAGTAGAGAAGATGGAGGATCTGTGACTGGATTGAAGAGGGAAACAAACCATGCTTGCAGAGACCTCATTTTGAGCCTGGCGTGTTGGACGACGGCCGTCGTCGATGCCATGAGACCTAGGAGGTGTTGGACGTGATGCGCCAAAATGGAGTGATGTGTTTGGAAAAGGCAAACAACCTTTTGAATGTTTCTGATTCTTTCTGGATGCAGAAACACTCTTGTGCGGAGGGAGTCTACCTCCATGCTGATGAACTTTGCTGTTTGTTTTGGGATCAGGTGCGATTTTTCGAGGTTGATCTTGAGACCAAGACTTTGAAGAGTATGGAGAGTTGTGTCTCATGCCTTTATGGCATCATGGTACTATGTCACCACTATCAACCAGTCGTTGATGTGGGGATAAATGTTTATTCCCTGCAGGCAGAGGAAGGTGGCTACCGGTGCCATGCACTTGGTGAAAGTCCAGGGGGCGGTAGAGAGCCTGAACGGGAGGGCACAGAATTGGAAGGTGGTGCCGTTGAAATGAAATCCGAGGAATTTTTGGTGGTCTGGATGAATGGAGACATGGAAATAAGCGTCCTGCAGGTCGATAATTATGAACTAGTCTCCCTGGGAAAGCAAAGGGATAATAGAGTCCAGTGTGAGCATGCGGAATTTACAGGGAGATATGAAACAGTTGAGGTGAGTGAAGTCGGAGGCCTCCATCTTTCTTAGGAACAGTAAAGTATTTTGAGTAAAAACCGTTGAGGGAGTCCGAAATAGGGACCGGTAAAATGGTGTGTTTCTGGAGAAGTTTGGTAACCTCATCCTGCAGATCAGAGGAGTAGGGGGTGTACCGAATGAACCCCAAAGGAGGCAAGTTGGAGAATTCTATAAGGTAGCCAGACGCTATGATAGATAGAACCCATTTGTCTGATGTAATGGCTTGGAAAAATGGGGCCAGTCTGGTACAATTCAGTGGGCGAAGAGAAATGTCAGGAAAGGGAGGCAAAGGTAGTTTTCAGTATTGCTTACCCTTTTGCTCTCCTTTACAGAAGGATTGACGTTGATGAGGTAGGCGGGGCTTGGTGTCACTGATTCAACAGGACCTCGAAAGGGTCTTGAGATGGCATCGGGTCCAGCATCGGAGGTGCAGAATGTGGGGGTAAGGCTTTGCGAGCCTTGTCTCGCTTCTGAGGTAGTGAGGTCGGCTTAGATGGGGCAGAAAGGCATGCAGATGAAGCCAAAACTGCTGGGGGCAGAAGTGGACGCGCGGAGGCGGTTCGAGTCCATAAAGGGGGTAGTCTGAGAGAGTTCCGGCATCGTTCGAGGCTGTTTAGCCTGTTCAGACTGGTACCTTTCATACAGGGTTTGCCAGATGTAGGGGTCAAAACACTGATACGGTACCATGGAGAAGGGGCAGAAATTGCCTTGCAATGCCACAGACCTCAATGGAGAGAGGTGCTTTCATTTCTCCATTCTCTTCCGTGGTGGAGAAGGGGGAACCTCCGGATTGGATGAGTCAGGGTTGGAATGGGCCGAGGCCGGGCTGGACTGTGGCACAGCCGCAATGAGGCCAATGCTCAGGGTTTGGAGCGGCATCATGGGGGGGGCCCGTAACATCATGGACTTCATCTCCATCCGAGGCTAAATCAGAGGCTTCTTGGGGTGATTCCTCGAGGACGGGGGAAGGTAGAGAAGGCTGAGGGGGCTCCACGCGGGGAAGCCTGTCCTTCCTGAGCTTCTTAGGAGCAGGTTTAGGTTTTCTCTTCGAGCCTGGATCGTGCACTCGAGATTTTTCAGAGGAGGGCAACTTGTGCTTCCCAGACAACTTTGTTTTCTCAACAGTGTCCTTAGCTGGTAGCACAGA